TAAGGATCAAGGAGTCCTGATCCGTAATTATCTTTTTGTTTTTGTCTACATTATATGGAAATGTTTCATTATTGGAAAAATTTTAAGGGATACTTGTTATTCTTAACAGCTTAACAGATACTCTGACCTCTAACTATCGTAAAACGCTTCGACCGGAAGTAGACACCTTTCGCACATGCGGGGTACCGATCGGGTTTCCGGCACAGATCGGGTAGTGAGCCTAGCCCCCGGCTAGCTATCGAGCTAGTGGGTAACAGATGTCTCCGAAAACGTCGGAGCGCTTTTGAAAATATGTGGTGTCTTGATAAACTGAGCAGATATTTGAGGTTTACACAGCTACATTCAAGCCTGAAAATATGTTAAACGTTTATTTTGTGACCCAGAAAGAATAATAAGAGTAATATTAAAACTAACTAGCTGCCGCCATTGTTGTAAACTGAGCTGGGCTGCGCTATGAATTCTGGGACACAGCTTCTTCTTCTTCTTCTGGGTTTAACGGCAGCTGGCATCCTTGTACATGCAGTGCTGCCATCTTCTGTTTCAGTCCGTTATTACACTCTTAAATCCTGCTACTTATTCCTGCGTCTTTTGTGATCTTACAAAGCTTCAAACGAGGCGTCGACTATTAAATCAGTCGTCGACGAGTCTGATAGTCGACTAATCGTGGCAGCCCTAGTACATAATTCATCCAAATATCTCAACCCGTGTTTTTTATCATTGTGATGACATCTGTCCTCTGCTTGGTGTCACTCATGGTGAAAGGATTGCTCAAATAAAATGTGTACTTTTGAATTTCAGAGCCACATTTATGTCTGTCTCTCCCTGATGCAGACAACACTACCACCTTAACATGGAGCTACATGACTTGTAGTAAAATGTTACATTTAAAAACTCACCAGAAGTCATTTTCAAACAATTATAAGTTGTTCTTGTCATTTAAGAACCGTGCACATCATCACCAACAGCTACGTTCACCCCATTGCAGGGCTCCTTAGAAGGGACTGTTCAGGCCTCCATGGAGTGCCGCACAGAGGCTCTGGACTTTACACATAAGGATGTTGTGTTAAGTCTGGTACTGAACTATACGTTTTGTCCTCTCTGCCCCACAGAGTTGATTCTGTTCATGTGGATGTTTTCAGTTGCAGAAACGTCTCAGTGACCCACACAGCAGCTTTTTCCACACCTCCCCCTCCTCTCAGTGGCTTTAGTCACTATAGCAACCACATCCCACAGCTGTGTGGTGATGTCACACTTTCTCAGTCATCTAAAGCTCATCATGGCTGATCCTGTAGGTGTGTATGTAGGAGTATTCCTACACTAGCTTTAAAACAGAGTAGCACAGCTGTATTATAGTCCATACATCCAACAAACAGCATTCAAACCTTTGGTGACTGGCCAGGTGTCACAACCTTTACAAAATAATAGGTCATAAATACTTAAATTAATAAGGTTAGGGATATATATATATATTTGCCTTAGCATGAGGCGCCTCAGCACTGCAGTCACAGACCTTCTTACTCGTGTCACTGGTGGGTTATCAGTGTGTGGGTCTGGGCCACACCGTCTGTGGCAGAGGGTGTTTCACCACTGCTGTTTGACCTGGCAGAGCTCCCACAGATACATGACTCACCGTCGGTCAGTTTAGTGATGATGACCGTTTATAACACAGGCTCTTATACACTTCCTTTCCATATAACACATTCTTAACATCTCTGTTCAGTAGAGCAGGGCGATATAACCAAAAAAATTTATCACCATATACATTTGAAAAGTTGTGATAACGATATAATTGATGATATAATTGACACAAGACAAAATACTTTACAACTCCTCAACTTTATTAGTGCAAAAAAACCCGACATCAATGTATTTCCACTGAAACAAGCAGCTGTTTTTTATCTGCATTAAAGTTATATAAAAACGTAACAGTGCAAATTCCTCGCTGACAGTTTAACCAAAAGGCATTTCCAGTGGAAACTGGCCGACACATCCTCAGCATAACCATGTATAATATCCACAAAACTTAAAAAGAGGTTATACACACACAGTACGGTAACATTATGGTGAAGCACAGTACGTATCACTCTGCGAGGCTCCGCCTACGATAACCGTAATGCTCCGACAATCCATCAAGCGGTGCGGCTTCGTAGCTCAGCAAAGTCGTACTGAAACATCTGACAGATGTTCGAGCGCCGTGCACATAAAATCGTTCCGAGGTCAGTAAACACAACCAGAGTTCATACATAAGGCACACGGGATTATAAGGGGCTCTGTCGACTTTCAGAAAAATCAAAGGACCAGCCCTACTGTTCAGTTTTAATAAATATAGATGACATAGGCAAACCTCACAGCAGGCCTGTCAAACCTATGGCCCAATTATACAGTTATATCTGCCCTGCGAGATAATTTCATATGTCAATTATTAATGTCCCGTCAGTGTGTGGGAGCCGCAGGTTCAGCCCTGCTGAGAATCAGTGCAGGCAGGGGTGGGACTCGATTTCAATGGGCACACCATGTGGCCAATCACATGTAATGACAGACTGGGATCATACCATTATGTGAAAGAGTCAAAGGGGCAGACGTTCCAAAGACAGCAACGGTAGTGGTACAGGCCAGGTACACTGGGACACGGGGAGGTGGGTTTAAAGGCAAGCGTGTTGGGAAAACGTGAAGAGAGCAGCTTCTGACCGCAGTGATAACGGGATGAGCGCAGAATTTCTTAGGAGCTAAAATGAAAAAGATTAAATGTACAGTTATTGAACGTCCCGTAAAATAAACTACATGCAGAAGTGTGTGCATGTTACCACACAAAGTCATTAAGAAATAAACGACTACATGACAGAAAAGTTTCTACTTTACAAAGTTCTGTTTATTTACGACTACAGTGTAAAACCCCAAAAACCTTTTATGCTGTTTTCCAAATGTGTTCATGATAACTGAAGAGTCTTTGTTTGGCTGTCACAGCAGCTTTTTCTTTATCATGTAGAAGAACATTAAACAGACTGTGTCACAGGGATGTGGTGACCTCTGACCTCGGACTGACAGACTTGGCAAAGGAAAATGAGGAGCATGAAGTAGGCAGTGAAAGGATACTGCTGATCCATGAACGGGACAGTAAGTGCTGACTGTGCACTGAGGAGCAAAGGGAGAAAAACGCCACACTCTTGTTGTGTTTGTGGCCTCATTTATATCTGTTCTTCTAAATGGCAACAAATGTCTAAAATCAGCAGACGTCTGCAACGTTCTGGTTTATTTCCCACAGAGTCCAGTCAGCCCTGTAACTGCCTCTTAAAGGGATGCATGGAAGTTAGTGGGTCTCCATCATTAGAAGAACTCCATATTGTGCTTAGATCCTGCATTTTGGGATTGTAGAGCTCCACGACTCTGTTTGGAAAGCCTTACAAAGACACCACAATAAACAGAGGCCTGTTTGCTTTCTGCTTTTGTCCTTTTTGTCTGAACAGTGTCTTCAGCTCAGATTCATCTGCTGTAGTTGCTCCCTGTGCTCTAAGCTTTTCTGCTCCAGTGCCAATAGATGCGCATGTGTTAAAGATGGCCTCTGTTGCTCAGAGAGTTTGCCTCATCCTGATGTGCTCTCTGGGGGCAGAGGTTCACCCCCGGCTCTCTTCCCTTCCTTTGCGAGGGCCATTTGTGAAGGTAATGCACACATGGCTGGATCCTCTCCTACAGCTCTGAGCAGAGAGACGAGCTCCAGCAAGTCAAGGTAGATGGGATCAGGCTCATGGTGAATCATAATGGCTTCATTTCACAAACTGGTTTTCTTTTTGTTTCCAGTTAAGCTCAGCTCCAGTTGGACTTGTGTACAAGACAGACTGTATGCAGCAAACACAGCTCATAGAAGGCAACACGCACCTCTGACTGAAAACTCATTTCTTTATTGCAGTTTGGTCAGTGTCGTCCTGAGGTCAGTCTAAGCTTGGCTGCAGCTATAATTATTTATTTTCCTGGACTTCTCAAAGGCCACAGAGCGGCTGCATTCAGCCCTGTGTTTACTGATGGCCCTTTGGATCGTCTCAGATCTTCCTCTTAAACTACATGTGTTTGAATATAAAGTAATAAACCACTGCCACCCTCCTAGAAAGCTGATGGACACCTATCATAGTCTCTTACTAAAAGTGAGCACCGAGGCTTTGTGATTGCTTCTGCAGATATTTGTGAAAGAACTGCTCTCAGGACCAGGGATGGGATGGGTTTCCATAACTGCTACATCCAGGCCTTGCATCACCACGAGCAGTGCAAGCCACCAGACACAGTAGTGTGAAACAAGCCACCGCTGGACTGTAAAGCCGTGGAGACAAGTGCGAAATGATGCTTCTGACAGTGTGACGAGCAGCACCTGACTGCACTGTGCTGGTACGGTGTGCATTCTTGTAGTCGGCTCTTAGTTTCACCCTCGCTGCTGCAGCACACGGAGACAGCTCCCAACGCTGTGGGAAAAGCTTTCAGGCTCACAGAGTGGGTAGTGGTCCTTTGTAAATATGCTCTTAAATCATTATAGTGATTCATTTTATTTATTGTTCATCACTTTGATCATTATCTGTTGTGTTTACGTGTGTGATATAAAAAGCTAGAGTGTTGGTGACCCTGCGGTGCTCACAGACTGATCTGATTGTTGTTCTTTGGTCGGGTTTTGCAGATTGACCCTAAAAACACTGGTGGAGGTAAAAAATGAAGAAGAATAGATCAATAATAGGGAGTGTGGAGCCTCTTTACCCAAATGCTAACCTATTCTACTGTTAGCACACTTCTCTCCCTGCCTTAGCAGTGCCTGTATCGAAGATCTTGCACCCCCCTCGTCTTCCCCTCACCATTAAGTAAAACACAGGTCATGTTAATTCCTCATCGATTTATCGGCGCAGCTGTTTGCACAAACCATCATTTGGAGTCTGGGGAAAAACTGTTTGCTCCAGATCATGACAGTGATAAAACCTTTGCAGGGGACCGTGTGCCTGATTATGTGTGCCTGCATTGTTTTTCAGAGCTGTCAGATGTTGAACCCAATATTTTCCTGAGGCCTTTCCTAGAAGTCGTGCGCTCCGAGGACACCACTGGACCAATCACAGGCCTTGCTCTTACCTCTGTCAACAAGTTCCTGTCTCACGGCCTTATAGGTAAGAAAATCCTTACCTGTACATGAAAGCGACCTGGTTTCCAGATAGTAGTGGAGCGGCTTCATGTGAAGACTAAACATGCTGATGAATGTACTCGATTCTTAAACAAACCCAAAAACCTCATGCCCAGGATGAGAAAGCATCATTTCCCAGTTTAATCACATTTCCTTCAAATGGTGAGACTGGTGTGGGACCGGTTGTAGGTCTAATATTAATAACAGGAGGGTTCCTGGTAATTGTAAAGCTCTTTGGGTGCCTTGAAAAGCGCTATATAAATCAAATCCATTATTATTATTATTGTTATTATTATTATTGTTATTATTATTATTATTATTATTATTATTATTATTGTTATTATTATTGATAATAATAATAATAATAATAATAATAATGTTATTGTTATTGTTATTATTATTATTATTATTATTATTATTATTATTATCATCAATAATAATAACAATAATAATAACAATAATAAAATAACAATAATAATAATAATAATAATAATAATTATTATTATTATTATTATTATTATTATTATTATTATTATTGAATAAATAGCAGAAAAACAGTTAAGCATGAGGTCAGCCTCGGGCGAGGGGGTCAGACGTGTGTGTGTAAGAGCCATTTAAACCATGAATTACATTCTGCAGATTGTGTGTCAGATGTTGTCATGTGTCTCACACAGTGTTGGGATAGTGGCTGACTGTAGTGTGCTAGCACCAGCAGCCTCTTTTTTTCTAGGTGAAATCCAGGCCAGAACGTGGCTGTGGGGCCTGTGTCTGTGACTTGGTTCAGCAGATGAAGGAATACGAACACCTGGCTGAGGTGACTTTCTTTATGATACCAAGAAGAGCGGAAACCACCTTCAGGTGAAGTCCAGGAGCGCAGTCGGCCCAGGAACATGTTTCTGTTCTTCATAGCTGCTGCAGAATGAACCGAAGGTCGCTGCCATCGTTGGCCTCGTCAGGGAAATGTGGCCCAGTGTCTGCCAAGTGTGAAATGACGATGCATCACCAGGTGTTGGTGTGAGCAGCAGGGTCTGAGGCAGCGTGACGGTGCTGTCAAACGGCTGTAGGCACCCTGTTAGAGAGCTGCTGGGAAACTGTCTTGGTGCTCGCTCCTTTACATTGAAGATTTCTTGCGAAGGATGTGAATAAAACTGAGGAGCAGCTTCAGTCGGTGCAGAGCTGCACCCCATCTAGGCCAGCTAAGGAAAAACCTGAAACTTAGAAGCTGCATGTCATTAAGTTTCTGAGCAGGTAGAAGATAAATGGACTCAAACATGACCGTTCCAGTCACATACTGCCCCCTGCTGGCCACACAGACACCACAGAGTAAGGCTTTGGTGGATTTCTGTTTTCTGGATGCAAGTTTTCCTCACTGAGCGTTTGCCTGTGAGTCTGTAAAGCTGCCTGCAGTCACACAGGCCTGTCAAAGTGCAGAGAGAGAACAGCGTGGGTGTCACACAAATATGATACAAAAAGGTCAGCACACTGTCAGGCTACACTGGAATACAGTTTAATAGTGGAATAGTCTACAGACATCTCTGTGGAAATGACTGTCAGACGCACACATTTTAATTTTACTTAGAGAGCAGTGGCTCCTCTCTGTGGTCGGAGGGCTTCTGGCAGAGCGAGAGCAAACTAAGCCCAGTTGTTGACAGATATCCAGAAATGGGGTCTATTCGCTCTCATCTTATTGCTCATCTTTCCCCCTCTGCCCCTTCTTTATTTTCTCAGGGTCTCCTGTAGTCAGCAGTCCCACACTGTGCTGCTAGCAGCCGCGTGGTCACTGGACCTCACAGGGCTCAGCCGAGGCTTAGGCTGCAGGGACTGCCAGAAGAGACGAGCTTAGAGTACAGCTGAAGCCTGCCTGGGGCCGAGGCTGGAGTAAACTCTCATGTTCTTAATAAACTGCCTGCTGTAATGAAACAAAGTGTCACACAGGGCCATTTGCTGAATCTCACAGTCAGAGCATTAAAGAAAATGAGTGTAAATACAGTCAACTAGTTCTTTGGACGCATGCTCAGTGTGTGAAAAGCTGATTGTAGTTCAGCCCCCGCTCTGTGACGAGAACCACAGCTCATAGTTAGCAGAGCAGCATGGTGTGCTGTTAGGAAGATGACCAGGTGAACAAACTGCTCAGGAACAGAACGAGTATAAATCCAATAAAGTAAGTGTTCCCTGTGTGTGGTTTGTCATGCAGAGTGCAGCTCGAGCTCTTTTTGTGCGTCGCTGCCTCTGCGCCCACTCTGTTATGCCACAGAATGTGTGTGTTTCTGGACCACAGTTTGATAGACTCGACTTCATGTGGCAGCTGTTTCAGCCCCCTGTTGACTTTGCAGCCCCGCTACCCCCCCCCCCCCCCCCCCACACACACACACACACTGAGCCTCTCCTTTCCTCAGTGTTATTTTAAACCCCCCCACCATAGCCCACCTTTGGACACCACTTGCCTCCGCTCTGTGCCAGAGGAAGGATTAGTGTTTTCTATCACTTCTGTCTCTCTGCTCGATCCCCATGTGGCTCCAGTTTCTCTGTGTGGGTGTTGGATGTTTCCAACACGACCTCCACGGTTGTTGTCGCCCTCGACTCTGGAGGGATGTCAGCATGACTCCATCTCCCTGGACTTTTCTGAAACCAGTTCTCAGCCTTAAACGAACCACCGACTCTTGTTCTCCACACCATCTGTCAAAGAGCAAATTCCCAAGAAGTGTCTTTAACTTTAATTACATATCATGTAGTAAACACATGTTCAGAGGGAAAGGTTGTGTCAGAGTGTTAATGTTGACAGGCTGCATTGTTGCCTCGCTGGGATAGTCCTAATCCCCCCCCTCCTGCTTATTAGTTAATGAATTGCTGCTCGTGAGGATGGTGGGAAAGAAAAACAAGATGGCTCAGCCACTCTGGTTTCAAAAACACTGGGGCTGTTGCTCTGACAGGAGTCGGTGGACGTAAGCTGTTTGTCCAAGCTTACGTTCAATAAAGGGCCACATCTGGTCTCTAGATCCACGGTTTGAAGCACGTTGTCGATGGATGCTGTTGGACATGTCTTCATAGTTGCTCATTGCCACCACGTGTTGGATATCATGGCTCACACTGTATTTATGTCACCGCTGAACATCTGGCAGTCACTGATTGGAGGAAAAATGCTCACTTTACGGTGCTCTGTGCTCAGTGTTGGGGAGTAACGGAATACATGTACCGCCGTTACGTATTTAAAATACAAAATATGAGTAACTGTATTCCGTTACAGTTACCGTTTAAAAAGGTGGTATTCAGAATACAGTTACTTTGTTGAAATAAATGGATTACACTGCGGTACTTTCCTGTTTCATATTGTCGCGGGTCAGGACTGTTTGGGTTTTGTTTGACAGCTACGTTCTGTTGTTCCAGGCGGCAGCGTTACGGTTGCCATGGTTACAGGGCGACGCTCTCTCTCTCTCTCTCTGCGACTGTGTGTTTCCTGGGTGAGAGAGCGCCTTTTCGTTGTTGTTGTGCTAAGCTAACAGGCAGAATGCTACAAGCATAGCTCTAAAGAATGTAGCATCATGGGCAGTGTAGTTGTAAGTAAGCTATTAAGACTCGACTGTACACCGTGTTCGTGTTTTCCTCCGAAAACAATAAGTTCCGTTGGAGCCTTTCAACGCCTCTCTCTGTCTCTCGCAAGAAAAGTTGACCCACACAACAAAGTAAAGCTATTTTTGGGCTACGAGCCGACAGGGACCCCGCCGTATTAGTCAGAGGTCCCTTTACTACAGTTCGGAGTCGCGGACCTTCAGTAATAGTAATAAATCACACAGCAATAGTACATTCACGTTGTTGTAAAAAACATGATAATATATTTAGTAATCCAAAGTATTCAGAATATGTTACTGTCATTGAGTAACGTAACGGAATACGTTACAGAATACATTTTGGGGCATGTATTCCGTATTCTGTAATGGAATACATTTTAAAAGTAACCTTCCCAACACTGTCTGTGCTACATCATTTTATATGCTTGTGGTGTATGCCACATGTTCTGCAGCAGCAAAAATAATAGTTGATTATTAATGAAGGAAATCTCAAAACTGGCCGTCATACGTTTTGAGATGACTGAATCAAGTCTTCCTTTATTCAGCCAGCTGTGCGAAAGCTCAAGATGAAGACGATGTAGCATAAGTCCAGTCGAGCTGGACCTCATCAATGAACACGCGTCTGAGAGTCAGTCTCTCTTCGGCGCCCCTTCAGTGACGACAGTCTGACTCTGAGAACCTTCTGTTTGTTGTCTGTTGGCAGATGCTAGCCACGAGGCAGCAGCGGAGGCCATTGAGAACATGGCGGACGCCGTCACGCACGCTAGATTTGTAGGAACAGACCCGGCCAGTGATGAAGTTGTCCTTATGAAAATTCTACAGGTATGCCCCGTTTGTTTGGTCAGCGCTGTCACTGCCAACCACAGTATGTATGTTAGTACAGTTGTACCTGCTGCTTCAGGTCCTGAGGACTTTGTTGCTGACACCAGTGGGAGCCCACCTGACCAACGAGTCTGTTTGTGAGATCATGCAGTCCTGCTTCAGGATCTGCTTTGAGATGCGTCTGAGTGGTAAGTTTATTTGAAGCTAATTCAAGGAAGCATTGCATCCTTATTGGAAACAGTTTGATCAAGTTTTACTGGCACATTCCAGCAGCTCCTTCACAACACGGCTCCTGTGATGCAGTGTTTATCATTTAATGCCTGTGAAATGGTACTCAGACAGGCTGGGAGTGAAGAATAAAGCTGAAATAATAAGAATATTAAATCATTCTGACCCTGAGGACTCGACATTAGGTACAGTGTTTGTGTGAGATTAGCCTCACACTGATAACAGAAGACATTTTCACATCTTATTCATCTTATTGGACGACCTGTTCTTCGGCTGTACCGCCGTCTTCTGTGAGGTTCTAGTCCAGTCCTGTTATTTACATAAAAATATCAAATTATGTCTTAAACTGTCTCCACCCAGAGGCGTCTCCTCTCTCACGCAGTTTTTGGTTCTCATGTCTCTAATGTCTGTGTGTGCAGAGCTCCTCAGGAAGACGGCTGAACATACACTGGTCGACATGGTGCAGCTGTTATTCTCCAGGTAAATAAATGACGGGGTTGTGTTGGTGGTTTGTTGCAGATGGCAAGTTGACAGTCTTTAATATAAATGAGGAAGGTTGTAAGACAAACACTCTCGTTTTGGAACTTAAAATAAATGTCCATAGTAAGTTTGCCAGAGATACAGGTTAGCGCCTCATGGCAGGATATTCAGAAGAGCCTGAAAAGTGGAGGCAGAGCTTTGTGAGCTGTGGGCTCACTGACAGGCTTTGTGTCCACATTAAATACATGATCACACGTTCAGTAAGATCTGTGAGAGAAATGCTTATTGTGTCTTAAATGTTTGTCTTTTGACCAGAACACTCACCACAAGCTGTTGTTACCTCAGTCTGTTTCTTCCAATGTAAGATTCTGTATATGAAGTTTGCCAAGTTTATTCTGATATTTGAACAGCGCTGCTCCCGACAAAGGGAAAACCAATCCTGCAGGGAGACCTACCTCGGCACTTGTGAAGCCAAAGGGCAGATTTGCTTCACCATATTTTCTAGTCTTTGGCTTAGAATGAAGTTGGTTTGGAAACATATTCAGCGATGCTTTGTGTTTCTGTGGGCGCCCATGCTAGCAGCGTCCAAGCGTTTTGTTTTTTTTCCCCCCCATTTTCATTCCGCTCCCCCCCCTGCATTGGCTCTCCACCCCCCCACTTTGGGAAGGTCTGGTCTAATCAAACCGCTCTCTCACTCACTCACAGCACCATCGTCCACACCATGTGTTCAGGAGTGCCAGGCACATGTGGTCACAGACAAAGGGATGAGCCACTTGAGCTGCATGCTGTATGATCTGCATATAGATAAAGCTGCTCTCTGATTCAGCAGCAATGTTCCAGCCCCCATAAATATTAAGCACACACACATCACGCACTGAGTTAGCATTGCCAGCAACGCCACATAGAAGCAATCAGCAAAAGCATGTCTGCTGATGTGAGTGAAACCGACTGCAGCTGGATAACAAACAGAGCTTAAATTAAAGGTGTGATTTGCTTCACCTCCTCCCTGATGTTGTGCATTCTTAACTAAGACTATTTGACATGGGGTTTGTCACAAAGCACTAGCTTATCGTCCTTTCAGTGAAGTCCAGAATTAGTTTTTGCCGAGGTTGTTGCCGTTTGCTGCCAGTTCCTCCGAGCAGTCCAGTTGTTATTTGCTGCCTGGATTCTTGTTATCAAGTCCTCTTACAAGACTTGACTGTGTTAGCATAAATCTCACTAACAGACATTTCAGCACACGAGCAGGTGCAATGAAGGAGTCTGGACTTTTACTCTATTGTTCTCATCCTGCACTCTCGCACACACAGACACACATACGACTCGCAGCTCATTTCCTTCGTGTTCAGCCCCAGCCCCCCGCTTGTCCACAGACCCCAGATAATAGAGATGTGAGTCTGGGATGCCCTCCACCCTCACCCACCTCCATCAGAGAGTAATGAGCAGCAGCTCAGTCTTAGATTGGCTGCTGAACGTATTAAGCATGTTAATCTGTTGGACCCACAGATCATCCAATAATCGTGCTTACAGAACAACACTCTATTAACGCTGAGCTAATGTCAGGAGAAGGCTGCTGGCTCGCACAGTGTGTGCGTGCGTGCGTGCTTGGATGTTGATGAGCTCTAATCTCATCATTTTCTAGCGAAGCTTTAGCTTCACAGAAACCTGGTGACACACACTAACATACTCTGTGTGATGCCTTACGTTTGTGGCTTCACTGAATGTGCTGACACTCTTACAGTAATATTTCCTCTTAAGCAGCTTATGACAGGCTCTGTGTTTAGTGCTATATGTTTTTTCTTTTGGGTTTTTTTTATTATTTATTATTGTACTTTTGTAGAGTTTTAATCAAAAAGTCGTTGTTAGTGTTTTGGCTTTTGGTTCAGGGCTAAAGGATGCACTAAATAACTTTAAAGCAGTGTCCGTGCAGGAGCCAGTTACCACCTCTGGGCCAGTATACAGCAGTTATTTAAAGCCTCTGCCTAAATAAACAGGGAGGCGTGAACTTTTGGTTTACACGCTAATAAAGGAATGGCACAGAATTACTGCTGTGACTTCAACAAATCAGTCACTGGACACTTTTCAAAGACTACCAGTCCAATTTGATTTAAAAACAACTTTAATTTGTTTTTCTTTGGCTCTGTCATGCAGACACATTACATTTGCTGTAATGAGCTGTTAATTAGTCATCGATGATTTTGATAGTCGACGTAATCGTGGCAGCCTTATTCGACAGCCAACATCCAGACTGACGGCGAAACAACCAGTAGGTCAGCATTCCAATATTCGGAAGAAGCAACTGCTAACACAACTAGAGATTAACAATGTACCATATAAATGCTACGGCGAAGAGGAGCCAGGACATCAGGGGGGAGATGTCATCATCCTCACCCTCCAAGATTGGTCCAAGATCAAGGCGGTGTGGAGGGAAGCTGGGGAACTGGGGTGGCTGTAGCTCAGGTGGCAGAGCAGGTCAGCCACTAATCAGAAGGTCGGTGGTTCGATCCCAGGCTGCATCCTGGCTGCATGCCAAATGTCCTTGGGCAAGATACTAACCCCGTGTTTGCCTACTGGTGGTGGTCAGAGGGCCCGGTGGCGCCTGTGTCCGGCAGCCTCGCCTCTGTCAGTGCGCCCCAGGGCAGCTGTGGCTACAATGTAGCTTGCTATCGCCAGTGTGTGAATGTGTGTGTGAATGGGTGAATGACTGAATGTAGTGTAAAGCGCTTTGGGGTCCTATGGACTAGAAAAGCGCTATACAAATGCAGGCCATTTACCAAGCTGGGGAACTGTTAGAGCTGGAGAAAGGTGTGATGAAGAATACCTTACCTTGCATGCCTTAGGCCTTAGAAACTGCCAAGCAAAGCATGGCCTCGGCTTACTGCCTGAACAGGTACACCAGAGAAGGAAGTCATGAGAATAAACCAGCTGTTCTCCACTCAGCCATCCAAGGTGTGCTCTCAGTGGCAGAGTACATAATGCACAGGCACATGGCTCAGTACATGAATACGTCAGTACAAGAAAGTCTACAAATGCCTCGTAGATCCTGGAATTCCTAGAACACCACAACATCAACAGGACCCTGATGGCGAGCAACACTAGAGGCCTACTTCAAGCACACAACGCTATCAAGCGTGGGATGCGTCTGTCCTGTGCAAGCCTGAACCCTCTCAGTGAAACAGCAAAGATACTGGAGTGGCATTTGGACTGGAGACGTGTAATTGGATGATAACAAAGAGGGAAGGTAGTCAGAGCTCAGGCTATCATGTCTGTGTAGGGCCTCGGTCAGCCAGGTCATGATAATCGAAAGAGCTTGGGAGGAACAGTGACTGGACTTCTTTGAGTTTCTTGACGAGGTTTCATCTGAGAAGCTTCTTCAGTTCTAAGAGGAACTGGTGGAGAGATTGAAGCTGTTCTTTAAGAGAGCCATTGATCATCTGCCCAATCACATGAGCCAAGATGTGAAAACAGGTGTGGGTCAGTATCAGCCAAGGTTTTGGATGAACCCATTGGGAGACCTTGCCCCACCCTATCACGTGATTTATCGATATCAAATGACCCAAGACGTGAGTGGACATCAAGCCGTCTGGGACGGGACCTTAAACCTGGATTAGATGAGCTCCGTAGATTACAATAGAAATTGTCATGAAAATAAAGAAAACCCATTAAATGAGAATGTGTGTCCAGTCTTTTGACTGTTGGTGTGTTTGCTTCCATTTCTAATTCACTTACATCATCTAAGATGCACAGCGTGGGCGAGGTTGGTGATTTATGTCCTAGACTGTAGATGGGATGTTGTAACATGTTCATGTCTCTTTACAGACTCCCCCAGTTCAAAGAGGAGGCCAAGAGTTATGTTGGTGCTAACATGAAGAAGGTAACATGGCTGAGATTGTGAATGTGTGCTGCTTGCTGTCATCGTGCTTTCTCTTATTCTTTGTTAATCTTCCGTCTGAGTCTGTGTCCTCCCCCTGTGCTTGGATCCACTTTATTATTTGTAACCATTAGTTTTCTTTTCAAGTTTCCTGTACTTGGATGTGTCCCTGTTCTCCTTCCCACAGACCCTACCTGTCATACTGGACTCTGAGGATGTTATTTGTGCAGAGCAGCATAGAAACACAAGTCAGAGTGGGGTAGACAGGGTACTTAACTGGCAGGGTTAGCATGGCTTCTTGGTGGGAGTGCATGAGCGCATGAGCGTTAAACATCGGTGGTTTTAAGGATGTAGTTGAATCAAACATCAGCATCTCAACATTTCTGCAGTATCCACCAGTGAGCAGCACAGTGGTGCTGTGGTGTAGACTGCAATTACATGTTGTAGTTGCACTAAGTGATAACAAGAAGAGTTAACAGCTACACTCTGGCTTTATCTATCAGATGCTGCTCTTTTATTGCACTGTTAGAGATGACATTTGTGAGTCCTTTGTACTGTATATGCAAAAATAATTAGGTGAGTTTTCTCCTTGAGCCCCTGAGAGGTGTTCAAGCCGTGACTGTGGTGCTCTGTTCGCCTGCTGCTGACTGCTCCTGCAGCTTCTAATGGCAGTTTTTATCTGAAGCTCATTCTTACATTGCACCGGCTTTATGGGCAAAATCACTTTACAGCTTTAAATGTGTAAATCTTTTACATATTTAGTGTAATTAGAAGATCTATCACATGACTAAATATGAAGACGCTTTGAGCTTACAGGTAAATTCAATCCCTGCAAACATAAGTCAGATGCAGGTTAAAGTAAACGGCTTCATCCAGTCAGCTGTGCTCACCTCTATGAAAGCCTGTTGTGGTTCAGTCTGGACTTTCTGTGGATGTCCCTGCCTCTGAAGCACTGACTGGTACAGCACTGTACACCACAACACAACAATGACCCTTGTTTGTCCTTTGAGCTGCTGGTTACGTGTCACGTCACATATGTGTATTCGATGCAGATTGGGGTGTTCCCAGAGTTTTAGCGCTTGTTGCTTCTTGCATGGTCTGCCTGTCCACTGACACATCTGTGCTGGCTGCTCTTGGTTACAGCCTACAGTGACTGTGCACTCTGATCCGGAGCACTGTTTGCACTCTTCCCATCGTGCATAGATGTGTATGCTCAGTTGTGTTATGTGTTGGTCCCACTTATCTGCTGATAATGTTATCCATCACTAATCACGGGCCTTGCCTGCTCCCCTTCTCTTCTGAGGCTTACAATATCTTGTGGAAAAACAAACGTGTGCAGGTAAGGAAGATTACTCTCAGTATTTAGGCTAGGGCAGTATATAGATTCTCTCCCAATAACCTTTGACTTACCCTCGCTACCTTAACCTCTTTTCCTTTACCTGTGACCTTGGCAAGATGGAGGCATGACATGACACAAACAGGAAGCAGGCCTGCAGATCCTGCTGGTCATTGTGTGACACATAGCAGTGTATGACTGTGTAATACTCACATCTGGATTATCACACTTTAAATGATTGAATTCATTTGGGCTACACAGCTGTTGGATTTCATTTGCCAATATGTGTCCCAGCTGTTAGCAGATAGCTTTTTTTTTTTTTGTATGTGTGTTTTTCTTTATTTAAAACAGACTTCCAACTATCCCAAGTGTTAAATAAATAAATAAATAGTTAGAGGATGAAAACCTTAGGGAATATTCTTCCAGCAGAAGTCTCTTCCTGTTCTTTTTTGACTCTTTCTCATAGTGGGGCAGGGCTATGCGATCTGCATACAGGGATCGTTTCATTTTAGATGATGGTTTGTAATAGTGCGCCACAGGAGAATCAGCCAGACAAGTCAAGGAGCTCGTTTCTAAACTGTAGCATGAAAACAGCAGAAAACCGTGCTGTGCAAACTATGTGGCAAGTAGACGCCAACACAACAAAGCTGCACTAGCTAAGCGAGAGTAACGTGCGAGAGTATGGAGACAGTTTACCAACGAGACGTCGTCAAGTGCTCAGATAAACCTGAGACGTTAGAATGACCTTCTCCCCGCAGCACGCCATGTCATAAAGAGTCACTAATACAATAACGAGCATATATACAAGCATATATAAATCTGGTTTCAAAGCACTCCACTCCAGGTACACAGCGCCGGCTGAAGACATGCCACACGAGTCCCGGTGCCTCTTGTGTATTACGAGTGTGTAAATGATCTGGATATAAAGAGAAGTGAAACATTGTCATTGCTCAATGATGATGGACCAGCTGACTCACTGAACCACTGTGTTTCCTCCAGCTGAAGATGCGTGCCGGTGGCATGAGCGAGTCATCTAAATGGAAGAAACAGAAACGTTCTCCGCGGCCGCCTCGGCACATGGTCCGTAGTTCCTCCGGTCAGATGGAACCAAGCCAGCCCAGCACGCTCAACAACAACCTCTCGGGTAGGACGCGCTGTCGTAATAATGGACTCACAGCCGTCTGTAAGCAGAGCTTGGCTTTCAGGTCTTTGGTGGAGCGCTGTATGACTGGATCCTGTGTTCTCAGGTGGTGTCCCGTTCATGGAGGAGGGCTTGTCCAATCCCAGCCTTCCTGTCTCAGACAGCTCTGCCTCATCTATCTGCAGCCCAACAGCCACTGACAGCGGCCTGGACACCTGCTCAAAAACTACTTCCAGGGAAGACCTTTCTGACCTGGATCAGTGCAGCTCTGCATCAACCGCTGGTGCAGCCATTGCACTCACAGGGACTGAGTCTGGCTCTACAGATGCACAGGTGAACATGTTTCTAATGGCTCTTGTTTACATTTTCGGCTCCGTGAGAGACATTGTATTTCCTCGCTTCTCCCTGTCCTTCTCTAATCTCTTGTGCTGCGCCTCTTTCTGTCTAGTTTGAGGGCCAGCAGGCTGAACCAGCACCGTCAGCCTCAGTGGAGTCCATCCCTGAGGTTCTGGAGGACAAAGACTCCATTACAGAGCAGTCAGACAGTGCCTCTGTCCATGATATGGATTACGTCAACCCCAGAGGCGTCCGCTTCACACAGTCCACGCAAAGAGATGGTAGGATCCAGCTGAATTTAGCAAGAAGGGCAGAAGATGATCTGAGAGTTCCACGTTTCTGTGATGTATAAAGACAGCTGTAGAGTGGTTCTCTCTAACCTCTTGTCCTTTTGCCTCTTGTCTGTAGGAGCATCCCTCATCCCGTATGGCCTGCCGTGTCTCAGAGAGCTGTTTCGTTTCCTGATTTCACTGACCAACCCTCATGACCGCCACAACACTGATGCTATGATGCACATGGGGCTGCAGCTGCTGACTGTAGCCCTGGAATCAGCACACATCCCTAACTACCAGTCCTTGTTAGTGCTGGTCAAAGACGAGCTCTGTCGACACCTGTTCCAGGTAAATTAAATGTAGATGATGTCATTGCTGACAGTGAGGAGCAGTCCTCGTCAAAGCCGCGGTCTTATTTTGGTAACTCTGTGCTGATCGGAGTCTTTTTAGCGATTATTGGCTTTTTATTGAACTAAAGCATCTGGTCCAGGTTCCTTACTGAGACGGCTAAAAGTGTAGCACCATATATTTGTGTTTCACTGCTAATGACAGACATGACCGGAGTGTTTTTAGGTTATAAACCCAGAGATCTACTCTTAACCTTCTCGACTGATTTATCTGACCTCAGATGGACTGATTGGTTCTCTTTGTCGAGGCCTGAGTCCTCTGCAGGGCAGTACGCTGGTGTAGTTATGAGGCCTTGCTGATGAAGTACCTCATCTGTGTTCCAGCTGCTGAGTGTGGACCGTATGAACCTGTATGCTTCATCCATACGGGTTTGCTTCTTGCTCTTTGAAAGCATGAGAGTGCACCTGAAGTTTCAGCTGGAGGTAGCTGTTCTCATTGATCCACACTCCTGTCATTCAGCTTTCATAGCGTTAGTCCCTGAGGACCTGATGGCCATGTCTCTGTTTGCTCAGATGTACCTGAAGAAGCTCATAGACATCATCACTTCAGAGAACATTAAGATGCCCTACGAGATGAAGGAGGTGGCTCTGGAGGCACTGGTCCAGTTATGGAGGATCCCCAGTTTTGTCACTGAGCTCTACATTAACTATGACTGTGACTTTTACTGCTCCAACCTCTTTGAAGACCTCACCAAGCTGCTGTCTAAGGTAACTCGCCCTGAAAGGCTTGCTAGTGATGAACAGGCCCTGATTACCTTTTTGTACTGAGAGCAGACTGCTGCAGTTGTTCTGTTTCCATGTATTTCAATGGCAAAATAATGGAAACCAGTTTTCTGTTAGAAGAGGTTTAGAGCGTCCTCCATTTCTTCTACTCCTGAGTGTTTTCTGCAGAGGACGTTTGGCTCTGTTTACACACTGGTCACCACTTGTAAAATATTAGTGTTTTAGGTGATAGGAACAACATACAGGTGATAACAGAAAGCAGATTTGCATTGATCTCCAAACCAGCCGTTTCACTGCACCACCGTCCTGTTCCCCATCGTCCACTGCACATGTCAGCTGTTTTGGTTGCCGTGCAACAGTGATGTTGAATCAATGTATAAACACAGTCTCGAAAACTTGGGCTGTGTAAAATGTAAATAAAAACAACATGCACTAATCACATAAACTCATGCTATTCACATGAGAACCATGTTTTGTGTGAGTCAGGACTGCAGAGAGCTGTCTCCCAACAGGAGGAGGAGTCCTCCGGCCAGGCTCCTCAGCTTGCAGGCATTTAAAAGAAGAGAGGATGCTGCACAGTGGTACACATGTGGTCAAATAGTCCATCAACTTCAAAATGACCTCAGACGAAGCTGATCCAAGCGAAGCAGACAGAAACAAAAGATCAGTCAGAACAGAGCCAAACATGTCCAGTCGTAGGAACGATAATTATAACACTGTATTCACAGGTAGTATTATGTACCTGGACAATAGACCGTTTGCAGGCTAATATTCTGTAGATTATGATGTGAGTATTATGTGAAAGTGTTTTTTCTTCTGTGGCGATAGAACGCGTTTCCCGTGTCGGGGCAGCTGTACACCACCCACCTCCTGTCACTGGAGGCGCTGCTCACAGTGATCGACAGCATCGAAGCTCACTGCCAGGCCAGGGTGCTAAGCAGCATAGCTCAGCAAGACCAAGCAGAGACTGCGCTGGCAGACGGAGAGGGTGCAGCCAAAGCTGAAACAGACTCTGCAGCTGGTATAAGCACAGATAACTTCACACCTCATAGATGCAGCTTGGGTGTCATTTTACTGTCTTTTTCACCTTTGTCATGTGATTGAATAACACACACGTTGGACACGGACGGCTTCAGTAAAAACATTTCCCTTCTGTTTACAGATGTTAGTAGACTTGGCAGTACCAATGGTTTGAGTCCCTCGCAGCCTGAAAAAGCACCAGTGTATCCTCCAACCAGTGGACATCTAATGGCTGAGAAGATGAGGCTGGGCAGACAGGATCAGGGAGACGGCGACCTTTGTGAGGCCTCCGTCTTCTTTAAAGTTTGTCTAAGCGCTGCGTGGAAACTGTTCAGCTGAGACTAACAGAAATTCTTTTCTCCAGCTGAGAAGAGAAGTCTGAAAAAGCCTCAGCGTTTCTTGTCCTGTTTACCTGATTCACACGAGCTAATGGAAATTAGAACAAAGAAAAAGGTATGTGGAATTCATTTAATGAGAGTAACGTAAAGAATAACATCTGCAGCGTTTCTTGCTGTGTGTCAAGCTGCTGATCACAGGCACGGAGCAGTTTAACCAGAAGCCCAAGAAAGGCATCCAGTTCCTCCAGGAGAAAGGCCTCCTCAGCAGCCCCATAGACAACAACCAGGTGGCCCAGTGGCTGAGAGAAAACCCCCGACTGGACAAGAAAATGATTGGCGAGTACGTCAGCGATCGGAAGAACCCAGAACTCCTGGACAGCTTTGTGAAGTAGGCTTAGCATCCTTTCATTTCAACGTGTGCTCTTCACAGGCAGAGCCGTGTGTGTTCAGGAACAATAACCAGTAATGCACCGTGTGAGCAAACAATAATCTGACTGGTTTCTTTTCCAGCACATTTACCTTCCAGGGGCTTCGTATTGACGAGGCCCTGCGGCTCTACCTGGAGGCCTTCAGATTACCTGGAGAGGCTCCTGTCATTCAGAGACTCCTGGAAACGTTCACAGACAACTGGCATGTAAGGGACACGTCCTACAATTCATCATTACTGCAGGACACAGCAGGATATCGGGCCACACGTGGTCTAGGCTGCGCTTGAGTCAGAGACTAAGTCATTTCACTCTTAGTTTGAATACTAAAGCTAAAAGAAGTCTGGACACCTGCAAAGGTCATAATAAGAGCGTGATCAGAGATGAAACAGACCTGAGAATGAGCATCAGCTGACTGCTGTAGCAGGATCAGGCACAACAGTAATAATGTGATGATCCCACTGAGGTTTAGATTCCTATCAACCTCTCACTTTAGGGCCAATAGGGGTTCAGGGGTTTGTGGATTGGGTGGTGATCTGAAGGTCAGCGCTTGTGTGGAGAAGGAGCCTGAGCCTAGGATACAGAGCCTGGTATACTGGTTTCCCCCAGTTTGGCGTCTGTATACTGGGACTTTTCCCAGTGGACGAGGGGGTTGCTTTCCTCCAGGTCAGGGAAGCAGGTACTGAGCGTCATTTGCACCGATGCACCACTTCAGGTCCCACAAATAAAAAAGCTTTAACAATGAGGCTGGAGACGTCATGTCGCCTGGGTGGTCCGCTGGACCTCACCCCTGGGTGGACGGGGTTCGCCCTGAGGTTCTCTGGATCTTGTAGGGCTGTCTTAGTTTTGCATGGAAGACTGGGACAGTGTCTCTGGTATGACTGGCCCTTTGCTGCAGGCACTCCCTAAGAGCTTGGTGTGCATTACCATTGGAGTCATTGCTCCTGGTGAAAGTTGGCCTGTGCTGCTCTTTGTCATCGGTTCTGTTCATAGCATTGATGGATACGATCTCTCGGCACAGCCAAGTCGTGGAGGGGCTCTGGCCTTAGTATCACATCTCTGCTGTTCACAGCTGATGTGGTTGTCTTGGCCTGATACGGCAGTAAACTGCAGGTAGTTGCAGTCAGTTAGGACAAGTGAAATGGAACAGTGACAGATTGTTGATCAGAGGTTGACGCCGTGTCTGCAGTGATGTGGACACTACACTGTTACGGTGAAAAGCCTGAAAACGAAGCTGTTGATTCTGTGGTCAGTGTATGTTCCTGCCCTCACATATGGCCACAGTGGAGACTGACTGAAAGAGTGAGATCTCAATTCAATTTTAGTTATATATATATAATCACAACAAAAGTCGCCTCAAGGCGCTTCATAGGTATCATCCTCCTCTGTCATGTCTCGGCTCTCCCTTGGTTGTTCTGAAAGCGCCAGTGTAGAGTCACTCATCTGACTGGGATGCCCCCAGTTTGAGTGTTTTGGGCACATCTTGCCTCAGGATGTCTCTGCTTAGGCTGCTCCGCCTGATATCTGACCCACTGTAAGTGGCAGAAAATGGACAGATGGATGCTGTGTAGTTTGATGTGTCCATCACAGCTTGTCTGAACAGTGTGCTTCAGTCACTGGAAGGACGGTGCATGTGTCTGAAAGCAGCTATGGAGGGAGTTCCTACAATGGTCTTCCAAGAACTGAGCTGTTAAGTGGCAGCACGGTGCTGCAGAAAGAGGAGGCAGCCTATGGAGCCTGTGCCAGCTGTCACAGGGCAAACGCAGGCATGCAGCCGAACAGCTCGCCAGTGGCATCAAACAAAAGACTGATAAATGTGCATATACTCTTTTATTCTATTGTTCTTTGGCTAATAATGTTACCACTGGGAAGACTTGGATTATGTAATTATCTAGTGTCCCCTAATAGACCCTAATAGTGCAGTGCATTTATAATTTAATGCTTTTACTCGTTCCAACATACCTGGAAACAAACTCGGTCACATTCACGTTTCACAGTCTGGTCACAACCAAGCGTGTTCATCACAAGGTAACTCCACTTGTAAGAGGCGGCCCTCAGTATTGTGGTCAACCCTGCAGATTGTTTAGATTATAGCAGTGGGATGACATAAGTGTCAAGACAGAGTCACGTATAGAGTGTGACAGGCAAAGGACAAACTCCACAGGGGAAACATGTGACGCCTCAAAATAGCAGGAGGAGCCATGTGACCTGGAAACTATTCCTAGTAATGTCCCTTTTTTTTTTTTTTAGGCCAGCCGCACACAGGAGTAGGCTTTGAAAGAGAAGATGATTCATTCTAGGCAGTGACACTGTAAATGGGTTTTCCACTGTGTGGGGTCAGTGTGGTATCAGCTGAGAGGTGAATCTGGAGGTCAGAACACGGGGAGTAGTTGTAGTGTGCCATAGAGGCACAGCAGCCTCTGTTTGTTGTGTGATATCTGGTCCATGCTCTGTGTTTGTAGAAAGTCAACGGCTTTCCTTTCATGAGCAACGATGCTGGCTTCGCCCTGGCCTACGCTGTCATCATGTTGAACACTGACCAGCATAACCACAATGTCCGCAAGCAGAACATCCCCATGACCGTAGAGGTAAGTGATCACACACCTGTGTGCGGTTGTGAAGCATGAACTAGTCGTGCCAGTTTGTGTAAATGGACAGCAGTCATTCCCCCAACACTGGTCTGAAAGGATATGCCCCCGTAGCACCAAGAACGGAGCTTTGAAATAAGATAACACGTATAAGAAGCGTTTGAGATTTATTATTGTGCAAGCCCAAACATGGCAAATGTCACCGGACAACACCGCTGCAACAGGAGCGTCGAACAGGACATAAAAACAAAGAGCTCAGTAAGAAGCTTGAATCTAACATGATGGTTTTGTTGGAGTGTCACAGGGATGGTAGTTTGAACCTCATCAAACCAGACTCAACTGCCAAAATGTAACCAAGCAACAATGGTAACACTGGGATGAACTACCAATGTGATGGGAAGATATATTCATGTGGTCTACTAATGATAATTACCTAACCTGAATGATTACAGCTATGCATCTGTTTACATTATATTGTCAAAATCCAGGTGTCCCAATCACTTCATGGCCACAGGTGCATGAAGTCGAGCCTCTAGCTGCTGGGTCATATTGATAGGATACCACCTGTGCAGCTGCAAACAGCTGCAAACTGCAGTCGGGAAATTTCCTCACTACTAAATAGTCCACAGTGAGCTGTTAATGCTATTATTATCAGAGAGGTAGGCCAGGTAGAATCACACCTGAGGCGTGTAGTGTGCAGACGGCTTTCTGCAGGATCAGTTACTACACACTGACAAACTTCATGTACTGCTGCACTCCAAGTGTGAGGCACAGCATCAGCTGCAGTGATGTGCACATCAGTATCCCATGAGTCAGTATGCCACCTCTGGACTCAGGAGCAGTGCACGCGCTCTCTGGAGGAATCAGCATTCACCGTCTTCTTACCCAGTGGACGAGTCCTAGCAGCAGGCAGGAGAACAGAACTATCTGACCAGGGCTAGTGGCTCAGGGTGTGGGGCTGATGTTCAGGCTCAGCTCCTTAGGTTCAGTGAACTTCATGTGTCAGCGTGCTGAGATATTTTGGATCATCTCATGCTCCCAACCTTTTGAGAATAGTTCAGGTGTGGCCCCTTTCACGTCCAACCTGACTGTGCACCATAAAGACGTGAATAAACAAGTTTGGTGTGGAAGAAGTTTGACTGGTCCTGTAGTGGTCCTGTAGCCCAACACCAGTATGTGCCTCACATATGTGGGTCCTTCAGAAGAACTGAAGCTCTTACAGCTGCAGACATCATAGGAAACATTGATGGTTGAATTTATTTATTTAAAAGGGACAGTGCAGTTTAACACAGTTCAAGTGCAAGACATGACACTGATGTACCGCACACAGGTTTATAGCTGCTGCTGATTTTCAACAATTGTCCCTTGTTGGGCTCACAATCTAATAACAAAGATATTAAAGTCGTTGTTGTGGTTCTCATTCACCAGCCTGTTGTGCATGAGTAATAATGGCTGAATGAAGCGTAAAACGTCCGCCCTGTTTCCCACAGTAATCGAGTAAATACTCGGTGGTCAGCAGGGAGCTCGTTAACAGAGAAAAGTCCTGATGCTGAGTTACTTCTATGCAGTGTTTTAAAGCACAAACATGTTGAGTAGAGAGACTGTCCATGGAAACACTGTGAAGACTATTAAGGTTGTTTCAGTGATAAGAAATGAAAAGTCAAATGCATTAGCATGAGTCTGTTTCTTATACCTTCATTATCATTTCTTTAACAAAGTCAACATCCTGATTATCTACACACTATGTTTGATTATTGTAAAGTTTGCAGCTCTCTCTTAAATAACGATATACCGAGCTAAATGAAAATGGTGAGCTGTTGTACTTCACATGTTAGGTTAGGTTAGGTTGTTTCATTTAAAGTTCAGTGCACGAGTTAATAGAGACGTTTAAACTGAAGCTAGTTGCAAAGCTCGTTTGTTACAGCTGCTGTTACAGAGTATCCCTCCCGCGATACCACATCAGCACGAAAATAACACAACACTGTCACTGAAGCCTGCCATAAATGTTGTAAATATGATTATAATACTACTAATGATAATGATAATAATGTTGTTGACCTGTGTATTCTAGCAGAATGCAGTCAGATGTTGGTGAGGCTGAGAGTAAAACCACAGCACTGGTTCTGACATGCATGTGTGAGAAACCCATAAACACAAACGAACCCATTCAGCAAAACAGCAAATTAAAGAGAAGTACATCAAAGAGTTTAGACCAGCGGTCCCAAACCCCCGGTCCACGGCCCAGTACCGGTCCGTTAGTCGTTTGGTACCGGGCCCTGAGAGTTGAGGCTCGGGTGTGAAATTTATGGTCTTCAGGGTTTTTATTGTTAACTGTTTCCCTGGGTCTTTCCCGTGTTGTAGTTGTGCGTCTTATTTTGAAAGAAATATTTACGCGATACCATAGCAGCCAGAGAGCATTAAGAGGGGAGGATGTTACTCTCAATAGGAGGACGCTGCTATTATTATATTTACAAAAGGCCAGCGTTTTTGTCTCAGTCATGTCATTTTATTTTTGTTAAACATGACACATGTGGTGGTTTGACATTCCTCTAACAAAGCTGGTGTTTGCACTGGTGAAGCTGCTGGTTCAGAGCCCACAGCTGTAGTCAGTGGCTCCACACAGTCAGGGAGGGGGGTGGATGTCGGTGCTCTCTGCCTTTGGTTGACGGTGTCGAAGCCTAAACTGTGTGTGGCACTCACTGACGAACACACACTTGCTTTCTCTCTTCTTATGTTCACATAGTTAATAAAAGCTGGTCTGACCTCATCGTCTGTTGTTGTGTATTAAAATCATTTCTATGCGCTTTCAGCTGTAGTCTGGGGACAAACTCACCGAGCTCGGGGTCAGCCAGCACACAGACGTCCACACAATAGTTTGGACAGGGCCAATAAAAGTGGCGCCTGGCACTTCGCTTACTTAGGAGCTTGTTGCAGTATGTAACATTCATCACAGCATGTGTTGGCACCAGTTATTTTTGGAATGGGAAAACTATGGCTGTGTGCACATCAGATCGTGTTCCCCGACAATAACATGACACGAGTGCGGTTCAGCTGAGGGCGGTGGGATGGTAGGTACTGTGTCCATGAAACCCAGCGTGCTGTTTCCAGCAGCTGCTCCCAGACCAGCGCTGATACTGACCACTGTGCGTTTCAGATGGCATGTTCCTGATCCTTAGCAGGATCCTGTTTCTGCGTCTCTCTGTGGCATCGCTGTTTTCCTAATGATGCACCTAAAATATATTAAATGACACATGAGTGCGTGTCCAACCAAGGCCTTTTAACTGTTGGTGTGATGCTCTGAACAAAGCACTAGATGCCAAAGGATCACACATCGGTGCTCTCACCGACGTGTGAGTGGAAATAAAAGTCTACTGGTCACATGTTTGAATAGTTTGTAGAGTGAAACCAATGCTGCTAACTGCTAACACGATGTTTCACTTTAAAACAGCAATTCAAGAAAAATCTAAAGGGAGTCAACGGAAACAAAGACTTTGACCAGGACATGTTGGAGGATATCTACAATGCTATCAAGTAAGGCGCACAGCACAACTCCCCTGATGTGTTAGCATCTGCTATCAGCAGCCAGACCTGAGCCTCATCTCTGTGCTCATCCTGGTTCAGGATATCTTGTTAAAAATGCCCATCACGCTGCTTCATTCACCTCATTTAAAAGCAAAAGGCTGATTCTGTTCATCTGCATGTAGCGTTTAATGTTTCTCCTGCTGAAACGCCACATCCGGATGAACAGAATAAGGCTTCTGGGGTTTCCTTACCTGCATCAACACAGATCTAAAGAGCTTCCAGCTGTTTCCATATTGATGTGATTAAAGAAGGCGGGCAGCTGTCCGAGGCTCATGAATAGACTGATGTTCTTTCCTTTGCAGAAACGAGGAGATTGTGATGCCGGACGAGCAGACGGGTTTAGTGAAGGAGAATTATGTGTGGAGCGTCTTACTGCACCGCGGCGCCTCGTCCGAAGGCGTCTTTCTCCACCTGCCGCCCGGCAGCTACGACAATGACTTGTTCACCATGACATGGGGCCCCACTATCGCTGCACTCTCCTATGTCTTTGACAAGAGCCTCGATGATGTCATCATCCAGAAGGCCATCACTGGCTTCAGGTATACAGCACTCAGATGCACTCGGTGGTAAATGCTACGAGACGCTGCGAGTTGTAGTGCAGGCTGCCGGCTGGAAGCGGCCTTTAGATGTCCACATCCACGGGTTAGCCTGCAGGAGAAGCACGGTCCACCCACACACAAGTTACTGTTATTGACTGTGGACGGACAAATCGTGTGACTACTGTAGGAGAAAAAATGCACGTTTTAAAACAGGCGTAGTTTTGTCAGGCGTTCAGTTGAAGTAAAGAATGAAGTGTAAACACTTTGTGTTTGTCAGCTGTTAAAGTGTGCAATCGTCTGTGTTTGGCAGGAAATGTGCGATGATTGCAGCTCACTATGGCTTCAATGACGTGTTTGACAATTTGATCATCTCCCTCTGCAAGTTCACCACTCTGAGCAGCGAGGTGGGTCCACAGCTTAAATCGCTTCTGTTCACAGCCAAAGACACTGCCGTACCTTTGACACACAGTAAGTGCACATGTGACACTGCTTAGTCCAATCACGTGTTTTGGGGATCAGCTGATTAAAGAACACAGTTCCTGACTGTGTCCACTGTCACTGGTTAGTTTGGCGTTCTGGTTCACACAATCATCGTTTGGTGGTTTCTGAAGAAAAACTGACACCTCTGATACACACCCCACATTAAAACATGTGTACAAAATGTAGCATCTGCTAATGTATAAATACTGCTAACACATAAATAGTGCCGTGAACTGAACTGTGATTGTGAGAAAATGTACTGTTGTATCAGTTGTGCTCCACAGCAAACACTGAGCCGTGCCACACACAACTGTAGTGAGGATGAGTGAACGCAGCAGTTTAAACTTGTACAGACACACGTTTGTTGTCACTAATGAATTGATCCAGATTTCATTCAATGTTCCTGCTGATGCACTGAGAGGATGTTTTCACACGTGGCTGGGTCAGTACCACTCCTCCACCTGTTGATGTCAGCAGAGAGTCCCCACTGTCAGCACCTTAAAACGACCTTTGTTTAAAAGAAGCCTTCCTCACAGCTCTCAGCTTCTTAAACATCTACAGAAACAACAGAGTTTGTGAATGATCTAATTGTGTTGTCCTGCATGTTGTTCAGTAACAGTAATGTATTCAGATGTGTAAATAGTGTTTGTGTGTCCCCCCACACACAGTCTGTGGAGAATCTTCCCACCGTGTTTGGCAGTAACAGTAAGGCCCAGACAGCCGCCAAGACGGTGTTCGACCTCGCTCATCGGCATGGCAACATCCTGAGGGAGGGCTGGAAGAACATCGTGGACTCGCTGCTGCAGCTGTTCAGAGCTGAACTGCTGCCCAAAGCCATGGTTGAGGTCGTTGTTCCGTCCTCGCTTTCTGATAGTACTGCATAGATCATCTGTGGCATCTACTGTTTGTTTGTTTGTCTTTTGTAAAGAGAGACATAAAGTTGTGCTAACACCTACCTGCCTGTGCCCTCAGGTGGAAGACTTTGTAGAGCCCAATGGGAAGATTTCTCTTCAGAGAGAGGAAACCCCTTCAAATCGGTACACACCAATCTCATCCTCCATCTTTTAGACCAATAAGTGTCACCACACAGTGACTTTTTCCCAAATACTGGTGAACTTTTTTTTTACCTGCTAGAACTGCTTTCAGCTGCTCCCATGCTCAGCGGTTAGCTCTGCATGTTTGTGAAATACCAGCTTCACGTTTAATTCCCCGTAGAACAGACCGGATCTTTAAAACCAGTACAAAGGCATGTGCTAGCTAAGAGGCCATGGAGTAAAAGGACGTTTTCTCCTCATGTGTTACATTCAGTGGCGAGTCAGCAGTGCTAAGTGTTTTCAACTGGCTGACGCTTAGTGGAGCCGAGCAGTCAGGACTCAGAGGACCGTCCACAGAAAACCAGGAAGCCAAACAGGCTGCTGTCCACTGCATCAAGGTACTGGACTCACCGCAATCTCTGAACACAGTCCAAACACCAGCTGCCATCCTCAGCTTTATTTCAAATACAGTTCAAGTGAAGGCATATCGTAGCAACAATGACACAGAGCCAATGCTCCGAGTAATCAGACTACTTGTAGTTACAGTAATTGGTGCCTAATTAAAACCAGCCCCATGTTGCAGTGTCTGACTTTTATTCAGTTAAATGACGACAGCACCGGTGATTGTTTTGGTTTGTTATAATATGAACGTTACAGCCGTGATATTTAACAAACTGGATTTAAAGCTGTGAAAATGGGAACAACGTTAGCCTGCTTCATAGTTTATTTTTACACATTTGGCCTTATTGAGCTGTGCACTTTGACCAACACTGTTCGGACAGCTGACACTGTATCAGATCACCATCAGTAGGTTTGCTGTTTGTCTTCCAGCAATGTGACCCAGAAAAGCTGATCACCGAGAGCAAGTTCCTGAAGCTGGAGTCTCTACAAGAGCTCATGAAGGTTATTGTTGTTCAGCACATACTTTAACAGTCTAAGTGTTAGCTTAGTGTTTCCCTTACCATTCACCTCATGGTTCAACATAAGCACACTAAATGACCTGGATTCTCCTGTCAAGGCTCTGATATCAGTCACCCCAGATGAAGAGACGTATGATGAAGAGGATGCTGCCTTCTGCCTGGAGATGCTGCTGCGCATTGTTCTTGAGAACCGGTGGGAATGACTCTTGTGACATCGTTTGTGTTGTCAGTGATTTTGAGCACAATAACGAGCTGTTTCTCTGCGTTTGTGAGCAGAGACCGTGTGTCCTGTGTGTGGCAGACGGTGCGCGACCACCTTTGCCAGCTCTGCGTTCATGCTAATGAGAGCTGCTTCCTGGTGGAACGAGCTGTGGTGGGACTCCTTCGACTTGCAATTCGCCTGCTACGACGAGAAGACATCAGCTCGCAGGTATACAAAGATGCTTCCTGACCCCGGCACACAGATGTGGTCTTGCAGACTCGGATCATCATCAAGTTAGCAGACAGTCTCAGTTTTAGGGCAGCTTAAACCCAGGTAGCTGGATGCTGTTGGTGCAAAGCCACCTGTGCTGGTGGTCTCTTTGACCAGCACGATGACCGTGCTCTCTGATGCGTCCATCAGAGTATGAACATGTGTGAGTGTCAGAAAGCACTGAAAAGCATAGAAGAACGTGCTGGTGTGAATGTGGCATGTTGGACATGGATACAGATTAGCATGTCATTTTAAAATACCTGTGTTGTTCTATTTTGAATATTGTTGTTCTTTAAAAAGACAAAGTATTTATCCACCACAACACAATCTTTCGAGTATTTGTTACTCGATGCGTTGAGTCAAACGGCAGATTAGTGAGAATTTCAGAAGGATGCAAAGAAAGCAGGAAGAGTAAATCATTTAGATCCAGCAAGCACTTTGGGCCAAGTGCATGTTAGATCTAAAGGTTTGTTTCCTGTTTCTGCATAATGTTGTTGAGTTTACTATTTCGTTAGAATTTACCAATAAAATAAGACTGGAAATGTCTGATGTGCTTAAACCAGGGTCGGCAACCTTTCTGATGATGAGTGCCTCTAAAATTCCCTCAGAGGTCAGTGTGCAATATGACTGCATTAGCAATGAATTTAATAACGCTCTATATGAACAGTTACTCACTATATAGATCAACTTCATAGGATTATATTTGTTTGCAGATGTTGGCAGCTGTCAGCGAATAGTTATCAGCTATTTAGAAACAAAAAAAGACTTTTTATCCATAACAGCAAATGAACTGTACAACAGAAAATACAATTTAATTTAAATTTAATTTAACTCCCACCGTAAGGGTGTGTTTTAACTGATGAAACTGTGTGGTACTCAGGCTCGGACGCCTGATTGCTGCCTTTGTCGCATAAGCTAACACCAGTACAGTAACCGTGCCTTTACAAAACTGAAAGACACAAAATAAAACAACATCAACAAAGCAACCCTATTACTGACAGTACAGTTTGGTAATAGTCATATTTGTAGCTTTAACACGTTATTTATCAACAACTCACCAGCTCGGCTTCATCAGTCATAACAGCAATATCAATGAAAAGAAGATCCGGCAGGTAGGAACTATGGCTGTTAACACGTACCATCCCAGACTGACATAAATCACTCCGTCTTAAATACATTTGTCATTTAAAGCAAATATGGGTCTGGCTGATAACAACAAAATAAACTGACATGCTAGAAATATGGGAAAAACCACACACTCCCCTTCCCTCATCCACCTGCTGGCCTCTGTTGGAGCTCCGCCACCACCAAACCACTGAGTTATTTTTACACATCGGCCAGCATCGGGACAATCCACCACCTTTCATTGTTTATACCGTTACAAAAAAAAAAAAAAAAAATCATCGGCCCATTAAAAATGGATGAAAAATGGCCGATGGCCAGTCCAGCTATGGTCGTGCCATCAGTTAACCGTTCGTGCCCAGGGTTGCCGACCCCTGACTTAAACGATTTGAACAGATTACCACAGTGCTCTCTCGCTGTGCGCCCACAGGTTCTTCTCTCCCTCCGCCTCTTGCTGATGATGAAGCCCCATGTCCTCTCCCGGGTCAGCAGGGAGGTGGCTTATGGCCTTCATGAGCTGCTGAAGACTAATGCAGCCAATATCCACTGTACAGATGACTGGTACACGCTCTTTTCACTGCTGGAGTGCATCGGAGCTGGAGTGAAACCTCCTGTCGCCTTCCAGCTTACCTCGGCCACAGCTGACACTGACACAGGTTCAGCTGAACAAGCGTCTAAGAGCAAATAGAAATACATAAAAACATCATGTTAGGAGTTTACATGAACATGTCTTTGTTGGCATTTACTGCAGGTGCCCAGTCAGACAGTGAGCTGTCGTCTCATCATCCCAGTGAAGTGAGCTTAGACCGAGGCTACACATCGGACTCGGAGGTCTACACTGAGCACAGCAAGACCAGGATCCCACGCTCGGCCACTGATGTGGATGTAGCCAGCAGTGGATGGCTCGTGGTTAGCACATACACTCACACTCACACCTGCTTCATGAGTAACAGTATGTTGCATATGACACTGAAACTGTAACAGTATCATATATAAAGCCAAGGACATGTTTCTTTTCCTGATTTTATTTGAAAGCTTAATTTATGGAAAGAACATGGGATGCTTGTTTTATTTCAGATGTTTCTTTACCCCCACACAGGTTGGGAAAGATGACTTTGAGATAAGTAAGACCCCCACAGTCGGGTCAAAGGCTCAGCTGAATCACCCACTGGTCAACCAGTACAGTCTGACACTGGGTCAGGACCTTGGCCAGCACGACACAAAGTCTCTCATCAAGTGTGTGGAGACGCTTTCTTTCATCGTTCGAGACGCCGCCCACGTCACGCCTGACAACTTTGAGCTGTGTGTCAGAGCGATACGAGTGTTTGTGGAGGCCAGCCTCAATGGAGGTGAGACACTAACGTCTGGTTGGTTTTATCAGAAGAACTATTAAACTTTGTTCACTTAGTACTAAACACACTGAGTTAAATATAGCAGGTCAGTACTGAACACATCACCAGTTTATTTCTAAAGGTGTGACTGGCATGAAAGTCTCACCAGATGTTGATAACAACACATTCAGTCCACTCATGCAAACACATCAAACCACAGATGTCCATAAATGAAGTTATGATTTAATATTGGAACACGTTCATGAGTCCTCTTCACACGCTGAGGTTAATTATGGAGCTCCACAGGGTTCAGTGCTAGGACCAATTCTGTTTATATTATTCATTAGAAGGCATAGCATACATTTACACTGCTATGCAGATGACACGCAGATCTATGAAGCCAGATAATATATTCACATTCCAGTTTCTCTCCAGTGTCCGTGGGAAAGTACCAAGAAATGATGAATGAAACATCCGTGCCTCACATGTGGTCAAAAGCTTAGAGCTGTGGATTCAAGCAGCAGAAATGAGCTGGTTTTAATTAGTGGTTTCATGGATGATATAAAACGGTGTAATTACTGTGTACTTTCCATCGCCACTTACTGAGACGAGGAGGTAAACTGCACTGCATCCACACGGCCACATCTCCAGCACACCCAAGCAGCAGCATGGTGGATGTGCACCGAGCTGCGAGGGCTCTCTTTTAGCTGCTTGTGGCTTTAATTGGTCCCATTATTATAGCATGTTTTAAACCCTTTAAGCAGGAAGGGCAAATGTTTCAAACAGCCATGCTTCTGGTAGATTTCAGATGAGATTAGATCGCCTCTCTGTTTCCTCATACTTGTCCAGGTTACCGCAACCACGACAAGAAGAAGAGCCACAAATATGACACCTCCAAGTCTCGGATGAGGAAGAAGGCAGGCGGCAGGGAGAAGGACAGCGGAGGCAGCGTGAGGCGAAGCAGCAGCAGGACCTTCAGCCAGCGCCCATCACGTTCCTACAGTGATGATGAGGAGGATGAGGGTGTCCCAGCCAGTTACCACACGGTGTCATTACAGGTTAGTCAGGACGTAAGTACAACAGCCCTCTTTACCCTTCCTTACCCTTCTAATGATGAGAACCCAGCTGTCCCAAAAGCATCTTGTTTTACCCACACATCTCTGATTCAGTTGAGCATTTTAATGCAGCACTGAGACTCCTCCCACTGACTGTAGTGTCAGCATGTTAGACGCCTGGTTTGGGTCACAGATGGAGTTTTATTCAATTCAATTCAATTTCTTTATTGTCCCACAAGGGCAAATTAGTTTAGCAGCAGGAGGACAAAAATAAACAGAACAATACTATAAAATAATAATAACAGTAATAATGATAGAAAGTTCAAGGACAATTATTTGCCATTAAGGAGACAAGACGCAGTAGGGATAAAAGAGACCTGGAGTCTTTTAGTCCTCCTCGGAGGTGCCCTAAAACGGCGGCCGGAAGGCAACAACTCAAACTCACTGTGAAGTGGATGGTTCACACAATTAATAATAGAATGAGCCTTTCTAAGCACATTTCTATTGTAAATGGCCAAAAGTCCATCTTGCCAGCACCCTGAAATTTTGCTAGCAGTTTTTACCAGAAGTCCCAACCGATTCTTATTCTTCACCGTCAGGTTACCAAACCAGGCAGCGATACAAAAAGACATCACAGATTCAATAAAACTTCTATAAAACAAGGACAACATCTCAGATGAGACATTAAAAGATCTCATTTTCCTTAAAAAGAACAGTCTTTGAACTTTTTTAGTAGTGGCATCAGCATGAGATTCAAAACACAGTTTATGGTCAAGTACCACACCTAGATATTTATAACTCTCAACAGTCCCAATATCGGCAGTTTCAATGATAGTAGGTGATGAGCTATAAGAGGACTTCCTAAAATCAATAATCACGACTTTAGTTTTAGGTGCAGCTTATAATGTGTTGCATCAGGACTCTTACAGCTGTAAATCCACGTCAGCTGTAAATGTAGCATCACACTCTTCCTGAGGGAGTCCCATTTGTTCTGTTTCTGATGTGGTGATGGGTCACAACACTGGGTTGAAGGATGTTACCTGTTTATGCTCATTGTTACGGTCAGTGTTCACCAGAGTTTCCAGCTAATTTCAAAGACCATTTCACTTGTGTTCTCAGCACAGTCACAGACTTATTGTAAGTGTAAGTAGGTGGAACATGCTGCGTTTAGAGTGTTTACACGTTAAACAGAGAGTTGAGAGCTGTTTCAGTGCCTGATCTCATCCTTCAGTGCAGATCAGAGCGGTGGAGCTTTTAAGTCAGCATGTTCAGAGTTGGATGGACGTTTGAACATTTTTGTGTTGTTGGTCTGGATTTAACATCCAATTAATGTATTACACACACACACACACAGGAAGTAAACATTACAAACCAAAGTGCAGTTTGTGTCGTGGATGTAGATGTCAGTGCTTTGACCCGTCTCCGTCTTTTCTTCCTACACAAAACCATCTTCACTGCTTCCTGTACCTGCTACTATGGCTGTTAAACTAACATGGCTTAAAATTCTTCTCTTATTTTAAAGAGCCTTGTTTTGTACCCAGTGGGAGATTGTAACTACAATACTTACGTACAAATTTGAGTTTATTTTGTTTCATTCAAGTCGTTTCTTTGTATAATGACACTCCACCTCCTCTCAGACAAACATGGTGTTTTCCTTGATCACATTTACTGATGTCATTGCCAACTAATGACACATAAAGAGCAGCTTGTGAAGAACTTCGTAAATGTAACTTCATCTACGATGAAATTAGATGAAAGACAAACATTTAAACCACTTTGTTGTGTTCACCAGTAGTTTTGAAATATTTTCCTGTGAATTCCTGGAAAAAATAGTCAGTGTATTAGTTCATGATGAAATTAATTATTAGCTAAAGTTCTGTATAAACTGGTTTATTGACCAAATAAACTATTAACAAGAAGAGCAATGCTTTTATATTAAAGCATAAATATGAATAATCTCCCTATTATTCACTGTGGAATTGCAGGACTTCATAATATAATGTCTGTATAACATATAGCATTGTCTCTTGTTATGTGATTGATCAAACTGTTTACTGTCACAGACACCATTACTGCATCCTTGCTGCTAGTAGAAACTGAGTAAACATCTAAATAGTCTGTACATGGTTTTATTCGTCAAGTTTGAACTGCAGACATAAAGCTGGACATCTCCTTATTATTAATGCTGGTTTTTGTGTGTGGGGGGGTGCAGCTCTTAGATCTGATGCACACCTTGCACACCCGGGCTGCCAGCATCTACAACTCCTGGGCAGAGGAGCAGTGCCATCTGGAGGCCTCCAGCAGGAAGATTGAGGCTGATTCTCAGACTTTGTGGACCAGCTGCTGGTGCCCCCTGCTGCAAGGTAGGAAACTATTCTGTGCTCTCTGACTGTCGTGCACACATTCACAGTGTGTGTGTAAATATGGCTTGTAGTAAAAAGCCTGGTTGGAGCTGAAAACTAGAGGTTTCCAAAGTCTTCTTGGCAGTTAAATTAACAAAGGGATTTTGGTAATAAAGATCAGCATTTAGGAAATTCAGAAGTCTTATTTAACGTTTTAAAAATTTGAAATTTATCAATTGCGCAAAATGTCTTAACTCAAAACTTGAAAATGTATTTATTTAAATGTGTCTTGTGAAGAATTGTGAGCAGACTTTGTTTTCCCTCATGGAAAACTAGTCCCTGTTCAGATACTCAGGGAATTCTTAGCAGGATCACTGACGTGCTCCATCCTGGAGCTGAGATAGTCCTCGATAATCTGGTTTGACTTCAGCTGAAGCTCAGTCTCATAGGTTGGTGGTGGATATTCCTGAATCTTGATCTTAGGTGTTGTGTTGTGTATACTACAACATGTCTGAAGTACTTGGTGTATTTTTTGTCATAGAATAAACTTTTTTTTGTTTCTGTTCTTAATGTAGACCAAATGCACAGTCTTGTATATTGTCTTACAACATGTCTTTTTACAAGAATTTGAATTTCTGGTAGATCTGTGTTGTTATAAAGGATCTCAGACCACGCTTGCTCTTTCAGTGTATGTGTGTTACTGTTTCTAGTACAAGGTTGAGAAGTCTTTTTCTTTTTTAGGTGCCATTTTCTTTTTTCCACACTTTTAGTTTTCTCTCAGATGTCAGTTCTGCTTCAGCTCTGTAATGCAGTTTATGTTCATATCAGTGTCTTCGTCACAGCTCCACTCAATGTCACTCCCACAGGGATTGCTTGGTTGTGCTGTGATGCCAGGCGACCGGTTCGCATGCAGGCCCTCACCTACCTCCAGAGGGCACTGCTTGTTCATGATCTGCAGACACTTGATGCAATTGAATGGGAGTCCTGTTTCAACAAGGTAAATGCTGAATGTCTGCGTTATTTCAGGACTGTGAAGACACCTTTGTTCACTCGTTTTTCATTCGTGTTTCTTTGTTGGCTGTCAGGTGCTTTTCCCCCTGCTGACTAAGCTGCTTGACAACATTAGCCCAGCAGATGTTGGTGGTATGGAGGAGACCAGAATGAGAGCCTGCACGCTGTTGTCAAAGGTTGAAAGCATCACATATTGCACTGCACACAACCACAGTTACACAAGTTAAACCAACATTCCAACCTGCGTCAGATCTATGTCGTAACTGGAACCCCATTTTAACCCTATGCTGACGTGAACCTGAGAAATATTAACTACATGTCGGGTAAACTACATGCATACCACAACAATTTGAATGGCATGGAAGGTTGCAGTGTGATACATTTTAGGTGATACATTTCCTGCAGAAGTTTAAATCAAGCTTAATATTGTTTAAGTTCCCACCAAAACAGCCCTGACCTAGATATATATGACAGAGATGGATATAGTGCCTAGAATGTTTCCTGTGGTATCTGGCACTGAAACATAAGCAATTGATCAGTCGAGTTCTGTGGGCATGCAGGGCACACGGGGCATGCAGGGCACACGGGGCATGCAGGGCACACGCAGGGCAGAGGGCACATGCAGGGCAGAGGGCACATGCAGGGCACATGCAGGGCACATGCAGGCCACATGCAGGCCACATGCAGGCCACATGCAGGGCATGAGGGGACATGCAGGGCACATGCAGGGCACATGCAGGGCACACAGGACATGCAGGGCACACATGACATGCAGGGCAGCTCCCCTGATTTGGCCTGTTCTTGTGAAGATACAGTTCACATAAACACTGCCTGTAGCAGTTTCCAGGTGGTGCCACGTGTCAAAGTTAAGGCTCACCACATGGGTTGCTCAGAAGAACATTACATTCCAACAAGATCCTGAATTGTATTCCCTTCACCTGTCAGTGCCTTTAATGTTGTGGCTAATCAATGTTAATAAAAGTCGCTCTGTCATTGGTTCATTTTGTCTACATCTCTTTGCCGTAGTTTGAGTTTAGGTGGTCAAACAGAACATTTTCTTCTGACGTGTGATTGTCTTCTAGGTTTTCCTACAGCACCTCTCTCCTCTGCTGTCCCTGCCTACCTTTGCTGCCCTCTGGCTCACCATTTTGGACTTCATGGATAAGTACATGCATGCTGGATCAAGTGACTTGTTGGTAAGGAGAATATAATTCTTATGTCCACATTACCAAAATACCATGGTAGTTATGACTGTCACTATGAGAGAAAGGTGTGTGTAGACTGTGTTGCCTGTGTGTGTTCGTGTAGTTGGAAGCCATCCCTGAGTCTTTGAAGAACATGCTGCTGGTTATGGACACAGCAGGCATCTTCCACAGTGCTGACTCTAGGACAGGATACTCTGACCTGTGGGAAATAACTTGGGAAAGAATTGTCTGTTTCCTGCCTTTATTGAGGGAGGAGCTCTTCAAACAGACTATCATACCAGGTGTGACACACTGACATGACAACCTGTAAATTTGAGCTTGTACCGTCACCAGTTTTACCCCGTTGTATCATCTTTCATTTTAGATGCAGTACCCAATCCTCAAGCAGAGTCTGTGCAGCTGACAACCCCAGCAGGCCGGCCCCCATCGCCTCAGGTGTCTCCACCTCCCATGCAAACACCCGCCCAAGCCCCAGTAAACTCTACAGTGGCTCAAAGCTCCAGCAGGCCGGCCTCACCACTGGAGCCTCCACCAGCCAGTGCCAACGGTAAATGTCTGAAACTTTCCTCTATTATAGCACAGTATGATCTCCGTCAGGGTACAAATACATGTAGGATATTCATTTGTTTTAACGGCAGATGGATAAAATGGCAAAACTTTTAAATGGTCTAAATGACCGTCTGTGTGTAAGTTGAAACCTGATGTTAGAAAACCCAGGGGGCCGAATGGCTCAGCCACTGTTCAGCTGAGGTCATGGTCATGAGTGGCCTACCACTAACTGTGGAATATTTAGCAGTGAGGAAACTACTGGATGGCTGGACTCGTTGCACGAATAGCATCCTATCACCCATTCTTACACACATGGTTGTAAAAGCAGTCTGGATGGAAACAACGTGGCATGTTACACACCGTCAGTGTTAATAGTAGTGTGTGAAACCTGAGGGGAATCCTTGCTGCTTCTGCAGGTGGGTAATTAGCAGCCAGGTGCTGGTAATTAGTTGCACTTTGATTAACTGACCATCTCGTATCCAAGTAGTCAGAAATGTTGCAGTCTGCAGTATTCATGCTTGTGGTAACCCAATGCCAAGTATATATGAGTCTTAAAGAAGTAGTTGTTACGGCCCATCACAGATTCATGGGCCATATTAAGTCATTTCCATCAGAAACATTCAGGACTGTTGTCAGTTTTTGTAGCTGTGGATCAGCACATTCATCCCGAGGTCAGAGCATGCATGCTCAAAAGACTGCAAGGAAAATAGCAAACTGCTCCAAGTGAGACTGTGTAGGCCTCATGTTCAGGCATATCACACTGATAACTGATGTAGAGCAGAGACTGAATCACTGTGTTCTCTCGTTTCGTGTTCCAGGATCAGGCCGATCATCTCCGGCCCCCCCCTTGATTCCTCCCATGCCAGTGCCATTAACAACCTCTCCTGTCCAGGGTCCTTCACCTTTAGGCCAGTCCCCCCTCATTCTGCAGCCCCTTGCTTCTCCTCTGCAGGTGGGAGTCCCACCCATGTCCCTGCCAATCATTCTTAATCCCGCCCTCATAGAGGCCACATCCCCTGTACCACTGCTTCCTGCTCCCAGATCGACAACTCCTTCCGACGAGGTCCAGTAAAGTCCAGCTGCCCCCCAGCCATGCTGTTCTCTCCTTAACAACTGGAAGAGCTGCAGCTTAAGATGGGACATGGAGTAGTACCGCATTTAAAGGAGAAATCCTCCAGAATGGAAACCTGGTGACACCGATAAAAACTCAGCACTGATGTTATTGTAGGAAAAACCCAACAGGTTAAGGTTGGTTTAGAAGCCACGCGCAGTCTTTGAGAGGTTAGTGCGACCCACTGAGAGCAATTTACTGATTCCACAATTTTCAGCAGTGTTCACCGTGCATATATTTTAAGTCAGGCAGTAATTTTAAACCCACAGATCGAACTTATCCCCATTGATTTATATTTGTGTTTTTTACTGTTGTAAGTCTGTAAACGGATGAACAACACAGCGTGTTAGTTGTTCTCTTTGAACTCGGTGGGTGATGGGTTCAGAAAGCTGACTTTGATTACTATTTATTGTTTTTAAAATAAATAGTACAGATGTGTTAAGGACTGTTTCTAAGAGGTTTGTAGTGCCAATGATGATCGTCTGCTTGAGTCGTGATGCACACAGTGGCTGTCCAGGGGTCAGACTGTGCCTCACTGCTTTGTTTTAACAGTTTTTACATAAGAATGGAGCCGTACAGACGAAAACACACTGCACATCCTGTATATTTGACACACACACTGCTTATTCAGTGCCAGACTGTGTCGTTTGGCTCTGGATATCAGCAAACAGAGCTCCGTCTTGTAAATAGCTTCTGAGTGAAGTGTTTTCATTGCCCCACCTCATCGTCAGGATTAGCTTCATGTTGGGAGTGATGAAAACATTTCATCTAGACTGAGCACTGTTGTGTTTTTACATCAGAAACACCTGCAGGAGTCCTCTCTTCGCCCCAGGCTGAACTCATATCTTTGCTCATATATGTCTATGCTTCACAACAACCTAAAGATAAGAAGGACAGTGAGTTGTGAGGATTATATGATCTGCATGTTTTAAGATTCCCAGAGCCTTGGCTACAGTCTGATGTTGCAGAAGGCATGACAACATCAGCATGTGTAAAATGGCCAAGTTCGATTCATCGTTTTGCCCCAAGCTTGCATCTCATAACCTTCAACAAGCAGCAAATGGAGGCGTAAACATTCCAGTGTCAGTCTGTAGTGAGCACGCTCTGCACAGGAACTGCTCTGGTACAGGAGCTCGCCACGCCGTCACGTCACCTTCTCCTGACTTGCATCTTTGATTTGACAGACTCGTACGAAACATCTGAAGTTTGCAGCATCGTGCCAGAGAGGAATCACACATGTAGACCGGTGGTTTTCTTGTTGTTCTCCTTTATTTATCCAGGTAAAAGGCTCACTGAGATTACAGTCTCTTTTCCAGAGAGAGGTTGCCAACAGAAGTTAAAACATTTCCACAACACGTCCTCAGTTTAAGTCAGCTGCTCCTCTTTGCTTCCATACATGTGCTGGCTCATTGGTTAAATGACCATCTGATGTCAAATTGACTGGAAACCATTCACAGCAGTCCTGGGCTTCTCTCACGGATGTTTTGTGTTATTTATTGAAAGTGGACTGAGCTGCTGCAGTACGATGGCATAGATGCAGTGTATGTGTGTCAGTCAGGTAACACTACGGCCTTATAGAGCCACCAACATGTAAGCTGAGTGTTTATTTGTTGGATGGCATCGTAGATTTATCAGAAGCTGATTGTGACTTGAACAGGAAATTCCGTGAATATAATGTCTAATGTATATAAATGAAAGGTAATGTACTTTTTACTATGTAATAAATATGTTGTAAGAAAGTGCTCCTCCTGGTGTCTGCTTATGTTTTAATTCTGAAAGAACACGGAAAAATACTCTTAATGAAGGGATTAAGCAAAAGCAACAACACATTCGATATCACTACATCGATCACTACTGCCGTCTTCTTCTGTTTGTCTACCACCACTATGTCCGGTTGGTTATCCACCACCATTTTGTCCGTCTGTATCTGGAAGTCCCACAGGATCTTAGCTCGGTCATTCTCCACCACCCTTGGGGGCGTCTCCCAGTTTGACCTCAGGACTTCCAGGTTATACTGGGCACAGATGTTCCTGTACACTATGCCGGTCACTTGGTTATGGCGTTCCATGTATGCCCTGCTTTCTAGCATCTTGCACCCTGCTGTTATGTGCTGGATTGTCTCAGGGGCATCTTTACACAGCCTGCACCTGGGGACTTACCTGGTGTGGTGTGTCTCACATTTTTGATATGTTGCAATACAACTGGGATAACTAACATATAACATTGTGTGTGTAGTAGGGCTGCCACAAACGATTACTTTGATAGTCGACTAGTCACCGATTATTTTTGCAATTAGTCGACTAATCAGATCATCATCCATTGGACATAAAACGTACAGCTTATTGCACCAGCAGCATCTGCTCTCATATAACTATCATTAGCTTACAGCTTTAAGTGTTTAAGGTGCTAACTAAAAATAAAGACAAGATGATAGTTTATTAAGTTTTAATGAAATTTTCAGATTGTTTCGGTGAAGTTTAATAAACTCCTTGCTATCTAAAATATAACAGGACACCGGAGTAAATTCTCGAGCATCTCACACTTCTGATAATCAGCTGTCTGCTTGATGTTTATTCAGCTGTGTAAAAACTATAACTTTAATCTCAGCCAAACCGATTTACTCAGGAACAAATAAAACACTGAAAAAAGCCAAACAATAACATTTTAAGTTATCTAAGTGACTCATATATCATGTTTAACCTGAGTAGCGAAAGACGTCAGTGGGTTTGAAAACGATTTGCCAGGAGTCCAGTGTTCTCACGGCTCTAGCGAGCCTAGCCCCCGGCTAGCTATCGAGCTAGTGGGTAACAGACGTCTCCGAAAACGTCGGAGCGCTTTTGCAAACATGTGATGTCTTGATAAACTGAGCAGATATTTGAGGTTTACACAGCTACATTCTCGGCTGAAAATATGTTAAACGTTTATTTTGTGACCCAAAAAGAATAATAAGAGTAACATTAAAACTAACTAGCTGCCGCCATTGTTGGAAACTGAGCTGGGCTGCGCTATGAATTCTGGGGCTGCGTCTCAATTCAGGGTCTGCACGCTTGAAGTACGCGCACTGTCACTACCCGATCCGTACCGGAAACCCGATCGGTACCCCGCATGCGCAAATCTTACGTCACTTCCTCTCTTTGCCAACTTTGCGACATTCAATATATTTGAATGATACCGTTAGCGCCCAGTTAGCTCCTAGCATTTCTCAACAGCTCTGCCTCCTTTTCGACTGCCCGGGACATTTAAACAATGGATAATCCGTATACAAAGAAATTCATGCTTTTCTCCTCAACAGAGAGCGTCCCCCGATTGAGCAACAGCGCCGTAAAATAAGAAGAATGGCGCCGAATTACAGAGTTAATAATGCAGACTTTGTAATATCTCACGTGTAGATTCATCAGCCAGATGAAGTGTTTACTGACAATTGGCAGTGATAGCGCACATCATCATCACTATTCCAGCAATCCTCTCTTCACAGACAAGCATAAACACACTCGACTATCGCTAAATCAAATTTAACACACGTTTGTAATGACGCTAATTCAGTGTATAATAGGGTTCATTCGCGTGGTCAGCAGGTGGCGGTATCCTCGTACACTGGGGAGTAAACTGCCATTAAACGAACAGAAGAAGAAGAAAACCCCTGCACATGCGTGGTACGGATCGGGTAGACCCGATTTGTACGGTCAGACTTTACACATGCGCAGTAAGGATCGGAGAGTCCTGATCCGTAACTAGGGTTGCCAACCGTCCCTTAAAAAACGGAATCGTCCCGTATTTCGAAACAAAAGCACACGTCCCATATTGAGCTAATAAGGGACGCACTTTGTCCCGTAATACAGTGAGAATCAAAAGTAGTCTATAAATGTTAATGGAATTAACGCTTTGTTTGAAAACATAATTCCCAGCCCCTCTCCTGCTTTGTGACCAATGAGCTGACAGCACACTTATGACAATTCGAGTATGACAATTCAGATTACCGCTCATCTCATTGGTCGAGGAAAGGTCGCTTGCGGAGAAAATACCGGAAGACAACAGATTTTTCTTTTTTTTTTTTTTTTTTTTACGTGTTTTTTTTTTTTTTTTTTTAAATACTTTAATTAAATTTATGCACATATTACAATCTCTCGTTGGGAGACAACATTTGTGCAACAACATCTTGAAAAGGTTGAATAAGAAATCAAACGAAAAAAAACAAAACAAACAAAAAAAACAAAACAAAACAAAAAAAAAACACATATATACATATACATAAATATATGAAGGCCATTTTTATGACATATAACAGTTTCCTTTCTGCGAACACTTTAACATACATGTGGCTTACTTAGTACACCAAAAAACAATCATTAAAAGGATAGAGATTGAGTCCCATTGTCGCATATCAAAGCAGCCTCTTTACATGAATCCCTCAGTAATTCTAAAGATGACAAAAAAGATTTTAATTCAATTTTCAATACAGTTAGGGAAGGTCTTTTACTTTTCCATTTGCATTTGTGTATGTGGTATTTGCCCATAATTATCACCACCTTGTGTAGCATGGACAGTTCCTTAGATGGATCACCATTATTATATAAAACTTGTGTTAGAGTCAGTGGGGTCATCCCATCTATTCTTATACTCAACCAGTCTACTAGATCTTGCCAAAAGTCAGTTGTTACTGAGCAGGAAAAAAACAAATGATCAATACTTTCCGCATTTTGTGAACAAAATCCACATGGCTCTACCTCAAACCCAAACCTTTTTTTAAGCATTTCAGCTGCTGGGTAATATCCATTAATTATTTTAAATTGCATTTCTTTGACTTTGGGGGGGATAGGCCATTTTAAAAAGTGCGTATATTTGTTCGTTATTTTAACATTACTCCCTTTTAGTTTTGTGTTACTGTTAAAGTCGTGAAATAATTTGTTTTTAAATATCTTGTTCATGGTTTTATTATTACAGTTTTTATCCGTCAAAGGAATCTGGTTTAGATGTAAAGAAGGTAGACTAATTTGTGCCTTAGAGTAATACAAATAACCTTGAATTAAACTCAACAGAGGTAAGGGGATTGCCTTACAAACCTTGTCATATTCTCTAAGGGAACACTGAATGTTAAACTTAGCATTAAAAACACCCACTGAGAGAAACTGACCCCTTTCATCAAGTAAGTCTGTTATAAAGATTATGTTTTTTTCAAACCACTCTTTAATAAACAATGACTTCTTATTAATTGTAATTGTTCTGTTATTCCACAAGGTGGAGCAATGTGGTGAAAAGTTATGGGCAAACACCATCTTCCAATAAGACAAGACCTGCTTATGATATTCTGACAGTTTCACAGGCAACTTCAATATATCAAAATCACATTTCAGGAGAAAATCCAACCCTCCCACCTTTTTGAAAATATTTTTTGGGATATGGAACCATATGGAGTCAGGTTTCAAGAGGAAGGCTTTTATCCAGTTTATTTTAAATACTCCAACCATTGATTGAAAATCAATTGACTTTATACCACCTTTAGCGTAATCTTTGACAAGTTGTGATTTTTTAATGTAATGTGTTTTATTGCGCCAAATGAATTGATAGATTATAGAGTTAATCTTTTTAATGCTTTTCGGGGTAATGTATAGTGAGTATGCTGGATAAACCATCTTTGATACGCCCTCTGATTTGGATAATAGATTGCGTCCAAAAATTGTAATATCTCTCGTCAACCAATGATTTAGTGTTTTGGACATGCCATCAATTTTGTCTTTTAGGTTTTTTGATTCTCTAGTGTTGATGTCTTTGTCTAAATAGATGCCTAGATACTTAACTTCATTTTTCACTGGAATCGTCCTCATGCTATTTTCCAAACAATCATAAAGTGGCAAAAGTTCACACTTCTTTAGGTTCAGACACAAGCCTGAAGCTTTAGAAAAAATTGAAATGACATTCAATGCTTTCTCGAGTATTGATTTATCCTTTAAAAATATTACTGTGTCATCTGCAAACTGACTTATTTTCAGTTCAATATCAAAAATGTTTATTCCTTCGATGTCTGAATGGTTCACAATGAGGTAAGCCATTAATTGAGTGCAAAGAATAAATAGTTTTGGAGAAATTGGGCAACCCTGTCGAATTCCACAGAATATGTCTATCCTAGATGTTATGCCTGGATTGAGCGAAACATAACTATAAATTTGCTTGTAGAACACTTTGCAAAATTTGTTTCCAAATCCAAAAAGTTCTAAAGATCTAAATAAAAAATTATGGTCTATTGAATCAAATGCTTTAAAAAAGTCAATAAATAGTATTAAACTTTCTGAATTAATAAAGGATCGATAGTCAATCATATCTAATATTAATCTTATGTTATTATGAATCTGCCTTCCTTTAATAAACGCTGATTGGCACTCATCAATCAATTTGGTTAAGACGCTTTTAAGCCTATTTGCATATACTAAGGCTAATAATTTGTAGTCGTTACATAAAAGTGTTATGGGTCTCCAATTGTCTAGCATTTGTAAATCTTTGTTTGGTTTGGGTAATAAGGTTATTAATCCTGTTTTCATTGTTGGGGATAGTTCTTCATTTTTTAAACAATCCAAAAAGCCATTAAATAACAAATCTTTAATGTCTTGCCAAAAGGTTTTATAAAATTCAATCGTTAAACCATCAATTCCAGGCGATTTTCCATTTTTCATTTGTTTTAGAGCTGTATCTAATTCGGATATTTTCAAATCTTCTTCTAACCATGTTTTATCATCCTCTTCCAATTTTT